TGAGTGCAGCCCTTGCTGCATTGCCCAGCCCTCCGGAGCCCTTTGGGAAAGTCCTTGGCTGGTCCTTGACATTGGCACCGTGATAAGCCATGAGTCACTCCTCAACTTCCCAGAGTCATTGCACGTCTATCTTTTTTTCAAATTGCTCCTGACATCCCAAAATCCGCGGTGCTATAAAAACAGCCCCACTTGTGCAGCTGCTTCTTTCCTGTCTGACTCTATGAACCTCACTGGGTTTTAACTTTGTCAGCCCGAATCGCTGCCGAAGACTCTCTTTGTGAAGCCTGTCCCCTCTAATAAGGATGAAATGTGGATGCTGCCAAAGAGTATCTGCTTGCTTTGCAGTGGAAGTTCTTCATCCTTCCACGTCCTACCTGGGACTGGGGAGGAGCATCTCCTTCTCCAAGCAGCAGGACTTGCGTGACTGCCGTGGAGCTCTGACTTGCTGCTCATGAATATTTCCCTAGAAAATGATTCACTCTTCAAGTGCAGTGGAAATACATCCTGTGTTTTGAAGACTCTTTAAATTATTAGTCTAACTTCTCCTGGGAGAAGCTCCACTCAAAAAGCCTGGAGTTAAATGTAAAAGCAGTCTCTTTCAAATCCCAGAATCATTTGGGTTGGCAAAGATCTCCAAGGCCATCAAGTCCAAGCTGTTCCTGATCCCCTCCTTGTCCCCAGCCCAGAGCTCTGAGTGCCACATCCAGGTGTTCCTTGGACACCTCCAGGGATGGGCACTCACATCCTCCCTGGGCAGCTTCTTCCAAGCCCTGAGTTCCCTTTCCATGGGGAATTCCTGCTGCTGTCCACCCTGAGCCTGCCCTGGCCCAGCCTGGGGCTGTTCCCTCTCCTCCTGTCCCTGTTCCCCTCCACTGTCCCCTCCTGCCAGGAGCTGTGCAGAGCCACAGGGTCCCCCCTGAACCTCCTTTTCTCCAGGCTGAGCCCCTTCCCAGCTCCCTTATCCATTTCTCCTAGGATTTACTGTCAGCTTTATTCAGATGCCTCATGTAGTGTGGGAGCAGGAGTTTGATGCTGAACACAAATTCATGGAGTATCTGGCAGTGGTGCCTGTGAAGGAAAAAAATTCCATCATATTTGTGAATAAACTCTTGGTGTAGGAACTTGGTGAGTTCAGGAACAGGCAAAGAGACAATGTAGGTGGCCATAAAGGCAGTTTTCTTTCTGAGGGAAGGTATCCCTGCCTGTGGCAGGGATTGAAATGAGATCTCTAAGGTCCCTTCTACCCCACCCCATTCTGTGACTCCTTGTCAGGTTGTTGTAGTTATTGCTGGGAAGAGCCAGGGATGGAAATCTGAGCTGCCCAATCTGGATTTCATGGCCACTGTGTATATTTAGCTCAGGGTTCACCAGCCTTTGCCTTTGGAGCCGGCATCCGACACCCTGGGACTGCTTTGCATGTGGAATGTTGGAGTGGGGTGGGCAACGCCCCTCTTGGCTTCTCTATCAAGTGATCTTCATGCCCTGTGTGTGTTGGAGACAGGAGCTATTTAAAGGGAGCTGTTTATCCAGAGCTTTGGAAGCCAGGCCTGAAGGGTGAGAGAACAGGAAACTCCAAAGTTGAGGGGTTTTCTCCTGCAAGGCACAGGAGCAGTCCTGAGTTTGGGGTGGGAAAGCAGAAAGTGCTGCTTGTTTAGGGAGTTCAAGGGAGCTGATAAGGGCTTCTGAGATGGGGAAAGGCACATTTTTTCCTTGTGGTAACCTCAGTGGAGTGCATTCCACCTGGCTGGGGTCAGTGATAATCCAGTGTTGCTCTGCTCCCTGTCTCTGAGCAGGGGCTGAGGCAGTCACTGTACACACACAAAGTCCTGGGGTGCTGGAATTGGAGAGCTGGAGGCTGTCCAGTGATGATCCTTTGATGAGGTGGGTGTGGAGAGCTGCTCACATCCTTTTTGGGTGGCTTACCAAGATGGGCTCGGTGCTTTTCCCCAGGACCAGGCTGAGCTGGGAGTTCATCCTCCAAAGGGCTGTCACTGCAAACTGGTAGAGATGAGTAGGTGCTACTAAAAGTAGTAAAAACTTCAAAATTACAGAAACACGAAAGGAGTTGTTAATATTGCCCTGAAATGTGGATATGATTTTGGAACTCCTCAGAAACCCTGTGTGTTCCAGATGGGCTGTGTTTGGTGAGCTCCTGGCTGGTAACTGGGGATAGTCAGTGTGTTAATGGGATGCAGGGGATGAAGTTTTTTGGGAGGGGAATCTCTGGAGCTGGAGAAGCCCTTGGAATGTTCTGTACCAACAGGATGGGGAGCAGAGGAGCTGAGGAACAAGAAGTACTGGTGCAGGATGTGGAACTGGATCTTACAGGGACAGTAAACACCAACAGGGTGCATGCCAGGCAGGACCCAGTGGGGAGTGGCATTAATGAGATCCCTGCTTTGCCTTGGTGCTGCTTTTCTGTGGCAGCTGTGGGGAAACAGTGCTGGGGAGGAAGGAAGAAGGAAGGAAGTTGGGAGTTTGGGGTCAGAATGCATGGACAGCTGTCTCTACTCCTTAAATCAGTTCTCAGAAGCATTTCTCCAAAGTGGAGAGCAGTCCTGCTTAACCATGGGCCACAGGAGCTGGGATTTGCTTTATATATATGGATTTTCTCCTGCTGTTTAGCAAGGTTTCTGAAACAGTTTTCTTCAATTTATCCCGTGAAGGGATGGAGTAAAGTCTCTCAGATTATTTGAAGACCCAACACATAAGAAATCTTCGCAGCCCCACCTTCAATTTCAGCAAATCTTTTTTAGATCTTTTAAGATATTTAACACTTCTTGTCAGTGAGAACACCCCCTAACTTAAAGGGCATCAATTTAACAAGGGGGGCAGTTAAGACTCCCACAGTTCATGAATTCTGCCCTTCAGGGGTTGTTTAGAGAGCAACCAGAGGTACATTTTACCAAAGAAAAAGTTGGTTTGCCGAGACTAATAGCCTGGGGTGGATTTTATCTCACAGTTACCAGGCTGCCCCAGCCACTGCCCTATTTGAACTGGAGCAGCACTAAAAAAGGATCTTCTGCTTCTCATTTTCTTCAATTCTGCCTGAAAAGAGAGGTCTCTGCGTTGTTTTTCTTAACAAATAAGGTAAAGTTGTGGTGGTTTCTGTGCAAAGGTCTGGATCCCAGCAAGAACTGTGGGCTGGACACCAGGGGAGCAGCAGTGGGGCTGTGATGCCTGGGGAGGGGATGGGGCTGTTCTCCAGTGGGAAGGAGCAGGAGGGAAGGACTCTGATGTCCCAGTTTGTCACAGGCTGGCTCACCTGCCAGTAAGGATGTGGGGATGGGAGGTTGGTGTTGGTTTGTGGCCCTCTGAGGAAGGCACTGAGCACCTGGTGCAGCTGAATCCTGCACCAGAGACTCCTCCTTTCCACAATGAATGTGGGAACTCCCCTTGCCAGCCCTTCTGAAGGGAGCAGGACTACTCTGGAAGGCTTTTCTCACTCCTGAGTGCTTTACTGAAGCTGAACTGACACTTTTCACTGGGCTGTTTCCTCGTTTAGCTAAAAACTCTGGCATTTCACTTCCCTGGAAGACAAAATATCCATCTGTGGGGAGAGGAACACGTTTGGTGTTTCTGTCTGGCTGCCGAGCAGGTACTGAGATGATTTTTTTCCTGGGAGAATGGCTTGATGACTTGCAGTGGTGGAGAACAAGTTGGACATTTATTTCTCCATGTGGATTGAAATACTTTAACTCTGTGGCTCAGTTTGTGCTCTCTTCTTCAAGGCAGATAGAAGGAGCAATTACTGGGATAGATTTTTTTTTTTTTTTGGTGATTGCTTCACAATTAAGAAACGTTATCAACAAAATGTAAAATATCGGGTAGAAAAATTTGGAACGCGACACCCAGGTGAGGAGATGGTTCCTGGTAAATCTGGTGGGAGCAGCTGCACTGGAATCATGGCAGAAGTAGAGCAAACAGCCAGAGCAGATGAAGGTGGGCTCGTGACTGGGATGTGGCTGTCACAGGTGGCTGGGCAGGTGTGACAGGGGCTGACAGGGGCCCTGTGAGCTCTTAAGCCATTCATTGAGCACCTGAAATGCTGCTTAGGGCAGGGATGTCCTGATTAGCCTGGCTTAATTCAGCTTTAATGCTGTGTTTGGAGAAACCTATTAAGGTGTGCAACGAGGGAAAAGCAGCTCACGGTTTTCATGGAATATCATGAACAGCTGAGCAAGTGTTGATGGGCAATAGCAAGCACAGAAATAGCAATGACAGGGTGGTTGGAATGTGGGGGGACCTCTGGATGTCACCCAGGCCAAGCCCCTGGCAGGGCAGGGTCCCTGGGGTGTGTCCAGGTGGGTTTGGGGTGTCTCCAGCCCCCCTGGGCAGCTGTCCCTCCATGGAGAGAGGCTCTTCCTCCTGCTGAGCTGGAGCTGCTGTGGTTTGCTTTGTGGCCACTGCTCCTTGTCCTGTCACTGGGCAGAGCCTGGCCCCTTCTCCTGGCACAGTTTGGGAGATTTGTGTGGCTCCCCTCTGAGCCTTCCCTCCTGCAGCCTGAGCAGCCCAGCTCTGCAGTCTCTGCTCAGCAGAGATGCTCCAGAGCCCTGAGCAGCTCGGTGGGCTCTGCTGGACCCTCTCCAGCAGAGTCTGCCCACAAAAGCCCACCCAGGGAACGAGCTGGAATTCAGGCAGGTGGCTCTGGGTGTCACACCTGACAATGCCCCAATATCCAACACAACTGTGCTGCTGTCAAAGTGGCTCCTTGGACTGAGGAGCCCAGAGCTGGACACCACACCCCAGCTGTGCCTGACCAGGGCTGAATAGAGGGGCAGGATCCCCTCCCTCACTCCTGACCCCAGCAACACTGGGATCTTACTCCTGTTGAGGAAGGAACACCAAGAAAAGCTGCCTGCATCATTGATGGGGGACTGCAGCAAAATCTCCCAGGTCTCAGTTAATTCTGAGTTCCACCACTCATGTCCCAGCATCCCCAATTCCTGCCATCCCAGGGCTCTGTGCTCACACAGTTCCTTCTCCCTTGTGTCTTGCAGATAAGCAGTTTCTGAGGACTGAAGTACCTGCCCAGGGAACTCCTGCTCGTGAGGTAGGAACTGATTTTCTAATGACCCAGCAGGAAATGCTGCATTCAAAAGCAGAGTTTGGTACAGCTGTGTGTGCACAGCAGAACAGCTGTGCTGGGAGCTGCAGCCACCATCCAGAGATCTGGGGTGCAAGTTCTGCCACTGGGGACTTCTGTGGAGCAAGCGTGGCTGGAATGCACTCACCTTCCCATCCTGTGCTGATAAACCTTCTAATTACTGCTAATTACTGCTCTTTTTACATGCTGCCAGTTAAAATCCTTCCAGACAGACTCACTGAAAGGTTTGGGCTGGAAGGGACCTCAAAGCCCACCCAGTGCCACCCCTGCCATGGCAGGGACACCTTCCACTGTCCCAGGCTACTCCAAGCCCTGTCCAGCCTGGCTTTGGAGACTCCCAGGGATCCAGGGGCAGCCACAGCTGCTCTGGGAATTCCATTCCCATCCCTCCCAGCCAGGAATTCCTAATTCCCAATATCCCACCCATCCCATCCCTGCCCTCTGGCAGTGGGAGCCATTCCCTGTGTCCTGTCCCTCCATCCCTTGTCCCCAGTCCCTCTCCAGCTCTCCTGGAGCCCCTTCAGGCCCTGGAGGGGCTCTGAGCTCTCCCTGGAGCTTCTCCTCTCCAGGGGAACATCCCCAGCTGTCCCAGCCTGGCTCCAGAGCAGAGGAGCTCCAGCCTTTCAGGTATTCATTGAAGTTCAGACATTTTTGGGGTTCTGTTTATAACAGGGCTGGTGTGGAACTCCAGGCTTATCTTTTCTGGCCACTTGGACTTTCCTTCTTTGCCTTTTCTGCTTCAAAGGGCTCACATCTTGTTTGACTTGGTCATTCAAATCTTCTTCTTATCAGAGTAAGAGGACTACAAAAGATTAAAATGGGGAAACTAGGCTAAGAAAAACAAGTCTGATTTGATTTGTTAGGAATTGGGAGCAGCAGATCATCCAGGTTTTTTATCCTAGCTTCCTTTGGGGAAGGCACAGCAAAGCTCCAGTTCTGGAATCTGCCATCAGCCCTGCAGTCAGGATGTTCAAGGTGCAGGTGCTCACCTGATGTGCTTTGGGGAAGGAATTACCATTTATTCCTGATTTTTGTGTGGACCGAGAGACCCAGGTGTCTTCTGCAGAGCAGTTTGGGGTTGTTCTCAAATGCTGGTTACGTGTTAAGTCCTGAGAGGAATTTCTGCTGTCTTCTTCCCTGTTTGAGCCATCCCTCTGCATTTTCCTGTAGAAAAGGCCTGAGCTGTCAGTGGCAGTGCTGGTTCCACGCAGGGACCCCCAGTCAGGAGTGCAGAGGGGCCACATGGACAGAGCTCATCCCACCTGCTTTATCCCCTGTCATCTCCTGGAACTGCCTGCAGTTCACAGGAGCTTCACAAGTCTCCTAAAACTTTGGTTTTTTATTCCTCAGGTGCCTTTTTTTCCCGGTGTCCTTAAATGACAGATGTAGAGATAACACTGTGGGTGCAGAGTTCTTCATTTCCAGTGGGGCTGATGCTCCTGTTCATGGTGGGACTGGAAGAAGCTCCTGTGTCCCAGTTCCTGAGGGGCTGGAAGGGGCTGGAAGGTTCTCCCAGTTCCTGAGGGGGCTGGAAGGTGCTCCCAGTTCCTGAGGGGGCTGGAAGGGGCTGGAAGGTTCTCCCAGTTCCCGAGGGGCTGGAAGGTTCTCCCAGTTCCTGAGGGGGCTGGAAGGGGCTCCCAGTTCCTGAGGGGGCTGGAAGGTGCTCCCAGTTCCTGAGGGGGCTGGAAGGTTCTCCCAGTTCCTGAGGGGTCTAGAAGGTTCCCCCAGTTCCCAAGGGGCTGGAAGGTTCTCCCAGTGCTGCAGGGGCTGTGCCCAGGCTCCCTGGGGCATTCCCAGCTCCTGCTGTCACTCCAGGGCTGTGGCTGCTGGCCAAACCATCTTAAGTCGTTGTCTCAAAGCCACTTGAAGAGAAGCCAAGGAAGATGGCTTATCTGCCCAGGGTGGGCTGGAGGGGGGGCCGTGCCCACAGTGCCCCACGTGCCCTCCCCGTGGCCTCAGTGGACCTGCAGGGGTCACAGGGTGTCACCTCCCCTCAGGGAGGAGCTGGACAGGAAAAGGTGACAGAGGAATGGGAGAGATTGGTGTTTTCCTCCCTGCACCTGCCAATCTTGAGTGGGTTTTATTTTTCCTCTTTTCTACCTCTCTTGGCTTGGCCCAGTGTGCTGTGAAGGTCTGCCAGGCTCCTGGGATGTCTGGACTCGATTTGGACTTCATGAAGTATCTCCAGTTGGAAGAGACCCTTAGATCATCAAATCCAATTGCCTGCTCCTCATAGGACCTCCTAAAACTGAATGCCACACCTGAGAGTCCTCTCCAGGCACCCCTGGAGCTCTGACAAGTCGTGTTGTACCTCCCACCTTGTCCAGGGAGGTGACTTTGCCATCAGGATATTTCTCCCTGGTACAAACTGGGAGCTGTGGCAGAATTGCCCCCTGCATTCCCAGGCACCCACATCTCCACAGTCCTTGTTGCAAGGTTTCAGGAGGTGCAGAGCCAGCAGGGCTTTCCCAGAGCCTGCACTGAGCAGCTGAAGTGCTTCCTGGAGGGATTTACCCGGGAATCTTTCAGCCAGGCTCATTGCTGGCGAGGATGAGGAGCAGCAGCTTCCTCCCCACTGCTGGGAGCTGGGCTGCTCCTGCTTGGATTCACCTGGCTGAGGAGTACCTTGGCTTCTGTGCCAGCCTGAAGCTGTTTTCTCACACTGCCCCTCAGGAATACCCCAGTTCCTCCTGCTCACTCCATTCCCCAGGCCCAGGGGAATGTCTGGTCATGATTGTGGCACCTGGATCTTCATTTGGTTCTTGTGTTGGTTCCACGTGTACACATGGGGAGAAAACACTTCTGAAAACGTTACCTGCTGGGTAAATTTATATTTTGTTGTGTAATGGCTCTAACTGGGAAGAAGCACTGACGAACCCACATCTTTAGGGTCAGTTTTTGGCATGGGGTGCCCAGAGCAGCTGTGGCTGCCCCTGGATCCCTGGAAATGTCCAAGGCCAGGCTGGACAGCGCTGGGAGCAGGCTGGGACAGTGGGAGGTGTTCCTGCCATGGCAGGGGTGGCACTGGATGGGCTGCGAGGTCCCTTCCAGCCCAAACATTCAGGGATTTGAGGTTTCTGAGTCGCTTTACCGCTTAAGGTTTTACTTTCCTAAAGTGTTGTGGGAAGCACCCTGAACTACAATCAAAAGGTTTGGGGTTTTTTTGGTTTTGTTTTCAGTTCTACACTGAATAATTATTTATTTAGTCCCCTCTTTTTCCCCTTTTGGAAGAGAGTTGCTGTGTCCAAGGGCATCTCAGTGTGGCACTGGATGCTGCAGCCACACCTGGGATAAGAAAGTGAATAATTCTCTAAGGAAACCACCACACCATGCCTGATAAGGCTGCAGGGACACCTGGAATGTCTTTTATTGCTCTTTCTGTCATGAAATCTCAGCTTTTGTTTTCTTACCAAAGCCTTGTTTTCCAGGCACCCTTGAATGTGTTTGCTATCAGGAGCACGGAAATGTAAATACAATGGTGGTTGGGCTGCAGCAGCACCTCCCTTCCTCCCCCTGCCTTCCTGCATGCACTTGGGATGGGGGGAGCTGTTCTTCTGCACTAATTCATTTCAGAAAGGACTGTTCTTGCCCCTGCTGCCACCTCATCAGATTTCAGAGACAGACAATTCTCTCCTTGAGACCAAGAACTAGCACAAGGCCTCGCGCTCTGGCTCCTCTTGGCATTTCCCCAAGCTCCTGCCTACCAGCACATCCCATTTTTTAACTAGATAAGCCACACAGGCACTGTTCTACTTGAACTAAGACTGCATTCTTCTCCTTGCAACATTTGAGCCAATTTCCTAGAAGAAAAACTAAAAAAAAACTGGAGCCATCACCAACCTGAGTGTCCAGCCTTAAGTTTGCAGCTGTTTGTGAGAGCTGTTGCCCAAGTGTGGTTGTGCTGGATGTGCTTGGTCACTGGGAGCTAATGTTGGTTGATCTCTCAGTCAGCAGGAATTTTGTCATTACAACCAGGTCAGGATAATTGAAAGGCTCCAATGTAGAATTTGTTCTTTGGCCTCACTCGGGAGGAATTGGGCTCAGCTGTTGGATGTGAGCGCTCGCTTGGCCTCACTCTGTGCCTGTCATCTGCTTTTTTTACTGACTGCCATGGACTTTGTGTGGCAGGAACGAGTCTCTGGGCAGTTCTTGCTCCTCAGTTCCCAGCCTTTCTTGCCTTCTTGCCACAGCAAATGCCTGTGCTGTGTCTGTGCCACGCTGGGGCTGCTCCCTGCCCAGCAGGTCAGCGCTGCTCCTCTGGCCCTGGGCCAGCCGTGGGGCTGAAGCAGCTAAAGAAAAATCCCTGGGATCCTCTCTAAGAATAAACATCACGCGAGAGCAGGAGTGTCCCCCTGCCTGGGGAGAATTAAATTTCCTGCTGGGAGGCAATAACAGCAGCTTAAGGGCTGGGCTGGCATCCCTGTGGCTGGAGGGATGAGCTGCAGGGCCCCAGGAGGGGCTGGCCAGCACCTGCAGCTCTCCTGGCTTCCAGAGCCACTTTTGGAGGGGGTGGGGATGAACCTGCTGGACCTGTGGCCTGGCAGAGCTCCCTGTGGATGGAAAGCTGCTGGCTGTGCCACTGAACACGTTTTCAGGCACTTCCCTGGAGCTGTGTCCTCGTCCCTCCCCTGGGCAGCACAGGAGCTGCTGAGGGATCTGAGCTGATTCATGTTCCCAGGAATTCCCTGGCTGAGGGGGAAGGTCCCTCTCTCTGCACTTAATGCTGGAGCTGTGAACTCAGAGCACCCCAAGTTCTCCCCTGGGGAGGTTTGGGGGCTCACTGCACCTTTCCCTGCCTCACACCCCGTTCTGAAGCTCAGTTATCCTGCTCCCTGGCCTTGGGAGCTGCACCATCACCACCAGGAGTGCCCCTCTCCCTTGGATCACAGGTTTTGCTTCCCAAGCTTCCAACAAATCCTTTCCTGAGCTTTTGTAGCCAAAGGTTT